ACATAAATGTTCCTGACTGCCCCTATGATTTGTATCTTTAGAAAATATACCAAATTTTCATGATACATAAATAACACAAATATTTTTCTTGACTGTCCTTAGGATTTGTGTCTCTAGAAAAAAATGTCAAATTTTCATAATACATAAATAACATAAATATTCTTGACTGTCCCTATGATTTGTATCTCTAGAAAATATGTTGAATTTTCATGATATATATAGATAACATAAATATTCTTGATTGTCCTTATGATTTGTATCTCTAGAAAATATGTCAAATTCGTATGTTACATAAATAACATAAATACACCATGTGACAAACAGAACATATAGCAAACAATTAGGGATGACAGTAGATGGATTTATATGAATCGAGAGAGATACCAATCATCTTGATAGTGGAGGTACTCATTGTCATGATTGTAGAGTACCCCAGGCTGCGAAGGATCTTGTACAAATCTCTGGACGGCGGATCTAGTGAAGAAACCACTATCTGGTGTACGTATCCTCCAAGACAAATTTCCCACGAGCCTGTCTGATTCCACGTGAAACTCATGTAATTGGCAGTCAAATGTGTCAAAAGTAGGATTTAGGCCGCTTGTTATGTACCACTTCCCACTGAAATCTGATATATTAAACGTTCTGACAACAACAGATGGATCGGGCACAGGAAACTCTCCGACATTTGATTTTCTTGGAACACATTTCTTACGTGAGACTGCACAGTCATTGAATTCATCTACAACACTGTTCTCAAACAGGTCCCCACATTTAATCTGCAGGATATAAGAGCTAAAGCAAAGTCAAATAAATAATTTTCAGCATATGTAATTATGCATGCTCAACAGGAAGAAAAAAAAAGAAAAGGGGAAACCTGGCATTCAGTCTCATCGGGCCTATCATTGCAGGTTTGCAGACATGCAACATTTGCAGCGCAAGAAGGGTTAGCAATGCACTTTGCTAGTTCCACCCTGAGGAAAGAGAAAAGAGCATGTATGGCAATTGAATAATCATGTTCATTGCAACCAACAAGAAGATTAACCATTTGTTTGGCCTTGGAGATATGTGGGCCAACTTTGCTTAATCTTCCCTGAATTCCATTTTTATATCTACCATTTCAAAGTAGCACCTTGCTTGATGTTTTATGAACTTTAAACTGCATATTTAGTCAGGTGGTTATCTTTCCCGGTTTAGTCTTCTATATTTGATAGGAGGTTTCACTCTTATCAACTTGCTAACTACACAATAAGAACTAAGAGAACATGGTAGGGCAAATGATAGCTGAAGCCTCCCTAACTAAGAGAACATGTGGTGTCAACCAAGGATTGTCATGCCAATTGGTAGAGAAAAGATCCAAGTGTTGGCATAAACCTTGTTGACCATGCCAGAGGTGCTGACACAATACTATATGGTGCCGAAAAGGTCTCGGCAGACTCACACGCCAGGAAACAACAATCCTTGTTGTTAACACATAAAAACAGAACTTATGGGTATCTTGTCTTGGGAACAGCCACAAACCATCTCTATAAATCCAATATTGCACATCCGAAATTCTATAATAAAAATGCAAATATAGACTAAGAATCCAAATAAGTAGCAGCAATAAAATCTTATATCAACATAATCTTCCACCTTTTCAAGTTGAAAGCATGCTAGTATCAATAAATCAACGCATCAATTATCTCTGGTGTTTAGTTTTGTAGAATAAGAACAATATTTGTATCTCTTGTTAGAATGTTGTCTATTTAAAATAAATTACAAGTGAATTATAATTAGATCCCAAATCGTAATTCAAAACTATAGATACCTACTTTGAATCCATCATTGGCAAGTCTTAGGTGCAATTCTTGGCCATCTAATAAAGAAACTATGAAATAAATTTTTGTAAAAGAAGAAGAGGAAGATATCTAGAATACATCATTGACAAGTCTTAGGTGCATAACCTTAAAAGTTTAGCATCGACAAACTCAAATTTCATGGTAACAAGCCATTTCTGATCTTTAAATTTTATATCAAGTAACTAATAATTTTATATAAATTGATAAATGATCAAAAAGATTAACTAATAATTTGTGCTTAAAGTGAGAATTTTGAAGTGGTGGTGGTTATGGGCAATGCAGAAAAGAGGGAAACAATACTTGTTATGAACAGTCTGTTCTATAGAATGCTTGATTCATAGGTCAATGGCTAGAAAAAAGACAGAGGAAGAGAAATACAAAAAAAGGAGAGAGAGAGAGAGAAAAGAAAGATGACAATTACACAAGGTTTCTGTAAGTTGGACATGGAGGAGAACAGAAAAGTAAGGAACCAAATTCTCAAACCTAGCGCATAAAAGAATATGCAAGTCTTTTGATTGAGTTTTCGAAAAACTCCAATACAAAATTTAACCCAATAGGCAATCTGATAACAAAGAGAACCGACTCACAAACTGAAATGAAATAGGCTCAACACAAGTAAGATGTGAATATTTGTCTGAATAAATACAGAAAAATAGACAAATTCTAATGAAAACTAACAATAACGAATGCTCCAAAAGCCATACATGTCGATACAAACTCGATAGAAAGGTCTGTCAAAATCCCAGATCAGCTAGTAAGTACCAAAATCCATGAATGTAAGTGTAAAATCCATGTCGAACTCAACAAGAAGTGTTTGTTGTTACTACTTTGTGATTATATGCTGTGGTTAAATTAAAAAGTTCAGAATAGACATTTTTTAAAGCAAGCAACACAGTTACAGCAGTGAAAGAAACATAAGGTTGGTTGGGGAGGAGGGAGCAGGAGAGAATGTTTTAGCTCAGACAAAACTACCTGCATTCCTTCAATAGGCAAGAACATGTCTTGAGGGAATCAACTGCCTCAGCTGATGGCACAAATAGAAGAGTACACGCTAGCAACCCTGTTATAGTTGTTACATACAACTGATTCCACTTGTTAACTATGGTAGACAAAAGCAATGTTGACGATTCAGTTTCTTCTTCAACCTATGAAAAACACAGATTTAGATGGTTATTAGATGTGTAAATTGAAAATATACATAAAAAATTCTTTATAGTGTCACTCTTTGACAGATACCTTATATGTACATAAAGAAGACCTGCTTGCCACTACAATATTGGATGCAGTACTGTTAAAGACAGCTTGCCTCCTGAACTCCAATCGACAGCAATTCATCTGAGATTTACGCCACATGATCCTTGGTATTCCTCTGTTGGACCACGATTTTACCTTCTTCGAAAATGAATGGTACGTAGAGATGCTCCAAGGTATCTTTCCATTAAGCATAGGAAACTGTTTGACATGCGGAACAAAGCTTCTATTCGTGGAGAAACCAATTGTAAAGAGGCCAGATTTCATATCTATGACTGAAAAATGGCAAAGCAAGAGTGACTTACAGAAGTCAAATTACAAAATAACCTTAACTTTCAACTTCAACTAAAAACATGGGTTATCTTGATGCTGTATTCTTCTTCTTATTTCAGATTCTGCTTCAAAAATCTGTCATCTATTTCAACTTTTAATGGATATAAGTATCACTTAGAGATTCAAATATTAACTACGGAACCTATATGCATTATGCAAAAGGCCAAGAAACAAACATTGGTAGGAAGCAATAATCCCATCATGCTCAAGGTCCCGAATGACGGACCTTCCGGTTCATCACCACCCCGAAACCCAACCAAAACAAAGAACCCGAATCGATGCGCCAAGGAACCATGCAACCCTTAGATGATTAAAATCACAGCCCTAGTATACTCGATCTTTGATTCTTACAAGTAGCGACACCAAAAACCTATAAATCGTCAAAGCACACAGCGAAAAGGAACCCTAATGGTGCAAAGCGAACGGAGCATTAAAAGAAGAGGGAAAAGGTTTAATATTACTCTGCGAAAGATCGGAGCGGGTGTTCTCATATCGGTACGAACCTGCGAAAAAAAGGGGAAATCTGCAATGGTTAGGGATCCGAATAGTTCTTCTCAGAGACGTCGAGGGATTTGGTTTATGGCGGGAGGATCAATTTGATAGACGAATAGCAGAGAGAAATGAGTGACGGGGAATCGGATAAGAGAGCAGCTTACGGTGGAGTGGCGCGGAACGTGGAAGCGTACGGCTCTTACGGGTAGCTATTTCCCACAAGTCATACGCGATGACGTGGGAGAGGGTCGAGCCTTAGGATTCTGACCATATAACTAACTCTACAACAATCAGTTAGACAATTTAAAGTATGTTTTTTTAGTATACTTCGCTGTACTCCACTGCCAGAAATCAGTTGTGGATTTCTAACGGACTAATCCACGTCATTACAGTTAATTCATCACTAACAAAGAGAATAAACATACGATGCGTAATGATAAGGTATATTTTGGCTGGTCAGCAAGGGGAGCACTCCCACACGCTAAGTCAGAATCCGTTCTGAGGTACTGTTTGGCATGTCCTGTCCCGGAGGCTCAGGGTGGCGCCGTCTGACGTCATCCCGCGTGTCCCGGGACAGCGATCGCACAGTACCATCTCATCCCCCGAGGTCATTATTGTCTTCGCTCTCGGTTCCTCCCCAATGGTGACAGGGAGGACCATGGTCCCGAGCGGGGAGATGGAATCTCCCGTAAATCCGGTGAGTGCTGATGCCATGGGGGTGGGGTCTCCCTCGGTCAAACCGAGCTTCTTGAAGGCGTCGGAGTAAAGGACGTCAGCGGAACTCCCGGTGTTGACCATCACCCTTTTGACTCGAGAGTTAGCGATCCGGATGGAGATCACTAGAGCATCATCATGATGGGAGTGCTCGACTTTTTTGGCCTCGAAAGTGATTTCTGACTCGAGCTCGGGCCGGGGACGTTTCTCAACCGTACCGCGGGCATAGGCCTTCCTCGCCGCAGAGCTATCGTCGCCGGCTACTGGTCCTCCAGAGATGACGTCGATTTGTCTTTCAACGGGTCCCCTGTTAGGATCAGAGCAGCACTAAGAGGGGGGGGGGGTGAATTAGTGCAGCGAATTAAAACTCGTAAGTTTAAAAAAGATTTCGTAAATGCGTAGAGATTTCAATTCGTCAATGACTTGGAGAAAGTAGCTCGAGTAAAGTGAGAAGATGAAAACCGAAAACTTGCTGCTATATAAATAATGGTTTCAAAAAGGTAAGAACTCACACATTCAAGGAATGCACCAATTTAAAGTGGTTCGGTCAAAATGACCTACATCTACTTGCGAAGCCTTCTTCAATGAGGCTCCCAACTTTTACTAGCAAATCACTTTGAAGGGGAAGGACAAATACCCCTCTTACAACCTTTTACAAGTGGTTCACACTCTTACAAATTTTCAAAGAGAAAGAGGGAGGTGAACACTCAAGCTATTGAAAACAAAAACTTGCTAAAGACTTTGCTAAGACTTTTATCTCAATCTCTTGCTTCTCAAAGGTTGTTATCTTAGCTGAGAATAGAGGGGTATTTATAGGCCCCAAGAGGATTCAAATTTGGGCTCAAAATTTTGAATTCTCTTGGGTTTCCGAGGCTGGCGGTGCCATCGCCTGTCGGTGGCGGTGCCACCGCCGGACCTCTCGGGTGCTGGGCGGTGCCACCGCTCAGTCCAGCGGTGCCACCGTTCAGTTCTCGAGTTCTGGGCGGTGCCATCGCCTAATCTGGCGATGCCACCGCCTACACTATTTCAGCTCATTGGTTGGGCTCCAAACTTGGCCAAAACCAGTCCGAACTCGGGCCCAATTGGCCCCTACTTGAGTTATAGGATTAACACCTAATCCTAACCCTAATTAATATGCTAACTATGAATTTAAAGATATTTTCTAAGCTATTACAAAGTCCGTAAGTCAAGACTTCTTCCGGCGAGCTTCCAGCGAACTTTCGGCGGTCATCCGATAAACTCTCGGAAAACATTCTGTGGACTCCCGGCAAGCTCCTAGACTTCATGATTTGATCTTAGCGAGTTCCAACGAGCTTCTTCGGCAAGCTCCGACCTTTCTCGGCGAGCTCCGTGAACTTCCAACGAACCTTCTGCTAGTCATAGGTGCCCAGCAAGCCAATCACGTGAGTGATGGCACGTGTGACTTGATACATAATCTTTTTGCTTATTATATTTTGGCGTATATCACTTTATAATTATTGCATATATGCATATATATATATTGTGATGTCCTTGGATTTGTGCAATGGGAATCGGATCGTGATGAGATCACGATAATGAGATCGATTCACCTTTAAACACTTATCCTAAATAATCCCGATCATAGGTTACTCGAGAGGGACATCATGATAACCAGACAGACTGGTATGCTGTATACCCGTCCATATGATGGATGCAGCCGGTCTCATAGCTGCTCGTGTAGGGACACTAGGGATACAGTACAAGTGCTCATTGGAGAATGAGTTTCACTGATTGATCCGCTTACGGAATGCTGGATGGTTGATGATGCCTTATTGTCAGACAGCGATTCCGTAGTTTTAGTGGTGTATCTGGTCCTTAGGCTTGAGTCACCAAGGATGTCCTGTATGAGTGCTCCACTCTTTGATACCAGACTTATAGGTTTGGTTGTCCCAGATCTAGTACAGCTAGTCATTAGGAGTGGTAGTCGACCTTACGAGGGCTATTGAGTGTCAATAGAGGATCATCCACTCTCGGCGTCATGAGAGGAATATCCCATGTGTTCTTGCTCAGACAAATCCCTGGCCTAGAGGGTCACACACATATGGTAGGCATTGCGATGAGTAGAGGTTCGAATATGAGATATCTGACGGAGCCCTTGTCTTATTGGATGCAGATCCAATACCCACTAGGGGAGGACCCATTAGGGTTTGACAGGGGACCTCTATAAATAGGAGGGATTAAGAGCCTCATAGGCTAGAGCCTTTGCTTGCCTCTCCTATTCTACTCTCCCTCTCCATCTCAGAGCAGGCTTGGAGTTTTAAGGAGCGTCGTCACAGCCCTGCTGTGTGGATCACCGCTAGAGAGGAGGATGCTTGACCTCCTTCACCCTCTCCTAAGGATCTGCAAGGAAACAGGGATATACGATCTCCCTAGGTAACACAATATACTTTATACGTAGTTTTAAGTTTCGCGGATTTTGCGCACCAATCTTCGCACGACGATGAACATCTCTTTGGGAATTGGGGATTTTGTTTTCTTGTTCTTCCACTGCGCATGTGATGTCGCCCCCAAGATTTCCCAACACCTTCCGGTGAGCTTCCGAAAAACCCTTCGGCAAGCTCCCTACTCATTCTCGGCTAGTTCCGGCAGCATTCCCGACAAACCTTCGGACTTCCGTCGAACTTGCAACAAATCCTTCGCACTTGACTTCGACACTTTATTTCGCTTTATGTCTTCATCGTTATCGTAGTTAATCCTGCACACCCAAGCCAAAACTCTACTCCGATCTAGACAATTATTACAATGCGAATTGACATTCTGCTGCCCGGCACATCATTGGTTGGCGCTTCGTCCGATTCTTCAGCGCATCGTCCTCTCTTGCGGCTTGTTGCCCAATCGGCGGTTGACCTCCGCAACCCCGATATCCTTGGCATAATTTCACTCCCCTTGGCCCGATGCCTGACGTCTGAAGCCTTCTGCCGTCCAATATCCTGACGTGATCTCCTCCGGCGCAACGTCAATTCATCTTACGTCAACTGTCTAATCCTGATCGAGTAGACCTGCATCACTCAAAATGCAGTTAAACATCTAAACACAATCAATTAGTTTCATCATCAAAATATGAGATTTAACATCCCCTGGGGCGTGGAGTCGCTTCCCGGGGTTCCTTGAGGTAGTGTTCGAGGTGACCTCTCCGGATCAGTGCCTCGATCTGATTTTGGAGGTCATGACAGTCCTCTGTGTCATGGCCGTAGTCCTGGTGGAACCTGCAATATTTGGACCGAACTTTATGAGTGGCCCTCAAGGGACGGGGTTGTCACAAGAGACCCTTTTCCCTAATTTGGAAAAAGATCTCGGTGCGGCACGTATTTAGGGGGGGGTGGGGGTGCGGCCTCAGGAGCAGTAGCTCTTGTCGGTCGGGCCCTCAACAGGGTGGCGTCAAGGCTGCTGAGGTTGTTCCTCGAGATTGTTTCACCCTTGGCCTCTTGCCTTCTATGCGCTTCCCCGCCACCAACACTTTGGCGGCGACGTACTGGTTGGTGCGTTGGAGCATTTCAGAGACAGTTATTAGCTGCTTCTCGATTAGCGACCAGAAGAACCTCGAAGGCTTCAAACCTATCAGAAATGGCTGCATGATTAGAGAGGGGAGCGTCCGGGAATCCCCGGATCATAATGGCGAAACGTGTCATGAACTGAGAGAGCGACTCATCTTCGCACTAAGATAATGTGAGCAGGGTGGCCATGGAAGTCCTAGGTCGCACACTGGCGAGGAAGTTTTGCTCGAACTCCCTGGCGAGCTGGTCATAGGACGAGACTGAGGATTGGCGCAGCCGGCTGAACTACACTTGTGCCGGTCCCCTCAGGGTGGTTGGAAATGCCTGATACGTCAATGCATCGAAGGTGCCATAGAGGGCCATCTGAGCCCGAAATGCGGAGACGTGCTCTGCGGGATCGGAGCCGTCGTCATATGTCTCCAATGCCGGCAGGCTGAAGTTGAGAGGTACCGGCTTGTCCTATACTTCTTGAGTGAAAGGGGACCCGCCTGAGCCGCCTTCACTGGACTTGCTCTGCGATTTTCGGAACTCACGCTGGAACTCGTCCAGGCATTGGTTGACCTGGGATAGCTGGGCCCTAAGCGAGTCATCTGCCGAGTCAGATGATATGGTGTCAGGCTCGAAGTGGGGTAGTGTGACTCGGCAAAGTGCGGGTTATTGAATCTCATATTTTGATGATGAAAACAATTGATAAGTGTTTATGATTTAATCTGCATTTTGAGTGACGCAGGATGCTTCGATCAGGATGAGATAATTAAAGCAGGAAGAATCATGTTGGGCTGGAGGATCGATCGACATATTGACAGAAGGCTTTGGGCCATGGATTTGAGCATTGGGCCAAGAAGAGCGGATATTGTGCCAAGGATATCGGGGTTACGGAGGTCAACTGGCCGATTGGGCAATAG